CTATTAAGTCACACGTGCTCCTTGCAAGTCACTGCTTTTTTTTTCATTGTTGCTGTTGTCCCAGCAACAGAAATACAGGGTGTGTGCAGCTTTCCATCAGTGCAAGCAACCACTGTGAGCTGAAGTGCTGATGACTAATTCATACACAAATCATCCTGTATTTTCCAAATGCATGATCAGGTGGTTGCAGCTTTGGAGAGAATGAATAATTTGAAGGAGTTTGTATCTAACACAACTGGATATGTGTTTTTGTATTATCTAAATATTTCATTAAAGCAAACAAACTAATTTTGTTACAGAAAAAGGTGCAGTCAGCCTTTTTCCCAAATGGAATTTTTCAAAAACTGAGTGTATGAAAATCAAACTGAGGCCTGGTTAAAAAGTTCAAATTTGATTTCTATGCAGTTGTAGAACAAAGCTAATACTAAACATTTATACCAAATTTACAGTGTAGAACTTAGCTCGGTTTGCTGTGGTTTGAGTATCAGAATTTCAAAAAATCAGCCCAGCCCCCCCGTCCTGCCCCAGCAAGGCCCTGTCTTTTCATGGGCCCTTTGTTTTCCATGTTGGCTGGTGTGGTTTTATATCCTTTTCTGGGATCTTGCTCCCACACACTACAGGGATTCAGGGAGGAGCAGTCAGGGACAGTCCTTTGACATTAGATTTGAAGGATTGACCTAATTTGTGTAGGGCACAAACATATTGGCTTATATTTATACCTTCTTATATTCATAGTGTTTCTACTAAATATTTTATTAGGGTAATAAGTTCTAACTATAGTGTATTAAAAGCAGTCTATTTGAAAATAAAGTTTTCCTTTTAATTTATAAATATATAAACATCAATGCTAAAGCATCTAATCTTGGTTTCAGATCTCTAGTCAGAAATCCAGGAAGTTTACTGAGTGGTAAAAACTGGTTGCAAACAGGATTCTCTTGTCTTCATTGTTACCTCTTTTAATTTCCTTTTGATTTAAATAGTAAGGAGCAGAAGTATTTTTGATAATAAAGAAAATACTTCTTTGCATTTGTGGATTCATTAGCCTCCAGATGGTGAAGGAGAGGAGAAAAACTGAAAATCTCTAATGATGCAGAGTGCATATGCTTCAGAGCAAGCTAAGTCAGCATGGACAGTCTGGGGAAAGAAACACAGAAGCAGGGAAGAAGACATACAGGACAAAAGCTAAAATTAGTTCAGCATTGCTTACTGCAAGGGACTAGTGAAAAATTGTCTACAATTCTGAAAATCCTGTAAGATACTCAGTTTTTATAAATTTGGTAGTAATTTTTGCTTTACCACTGCATGTGTCAAAATTCTTGAATTTTAATAGTTTTAAATAACCACCTTTTCAATTCTGAGTTTGTTCTTTTGTGTCTGAATTCTGTCCTGGCATCTCTTCCCCTCCTCTGGCAGCTGCTTGCCCAGCCTGGTGGATGCAATGCCCTCCCTCCCCTTGCTGCCTGCTCTGCCCCAAGCCTGGGATGCCCAGGAAACACCTGCAAAGCCCTGATGCTGCTGGGCTCTTTCTGCTCACTAATGGAGCTAAAAATAGCAACTGCTGGGGGTGATTTCAGTACAGCCACGTTTGCAGGCTCATTTCAGAGTCTGCACAAGTGAATATCTTGTGTAACTAATGGCTGCATCAATATTCTAGATCAAAACACAAAAGGATTTTTAGCCAGTGATTCTAAATTGCTTGTTAGCTAATAAAGGATTAGAGGTTTTTAACATTGATCCCTCTTCTGCAGTGCCACCAGCTGTACTTTTCATCTTTCATTTGAGTAGATGTCAAATTATTTCTTTTTGTATGTGTGTATGTGCATGTTTATGCATATAGAAGTTTTTCAGTCAGAAGGATAGATTTATTGTGAGAGTTATTCTGGCAGTGTGTTTTCAACTTCCCTGTACACATTTGAGAAGATTTAGGTTTGGGGGGTTTTTTGGTTGGTTTTTTGGGGTGTGGGGGGATTGTTGGGGTTTTGGTTTGTTGTTTGGTTTGGTTTTTTTTCAGAAAACATAGGGAAGTTTATTAGTACTGAATAAAACACAGTAGCATAAGAATTCTTTTGTTTGTGTAAATTATGCAAGAGGTATGTCACAAGCCATAATGTCATTATCTCTACTGTCATATTCTTTGTATTCCATGAAAAAGATTCTTTTCTCACGCACCTGCATTGAAACATCAGTTGTGTAGTACATTGGATAGGCCTAAAGAGCTGTCCCATATGCAGAGGAGCACACAGATATGCTGTGGCTGAAAGGTAAAGGCTTTGCAGTCTCACATCACTTAAGTGGGGCTCCCCTTTCTGCTGCCTCCAGGAAATCTCAGCCATGGGCAGTGTAGACAGTAGTGTCCCCATTCTGCTGCACTGGTGTTTCCCATTTAAATGTAATCTGACAGCTACAAGCTTTAGGGGGTAAAATTTTTAATTATTTATAAACACCAGTGTTTATTTATAGTATACTAGTATAATATATTTTTTATATATATAAAATTAAATACATACATAACCTCGATGTCCAAAAGCAAGTAGCCCCAGCTGACTGTAATGATATTTTTTACTTTCTCCTATTGGTGGGGTAGGCAGGTTTCTGGCTTTTTGGAGTCAGGAGGAATTTCCTCTCTTTGTAGCTCAGTGTTTAGTTCAATCCATGTTTGTTTGTTGCCTCTGTACTTGAGGAAGGAGTATTTTAATGAAGTGTATTTGCCAGTGCAATGAAATCCTCCTGTTGGGGAGACAGCCCAGCAGCCACTCCAGTGTTGTGTCAGAGAACAGCTCCTGCTGCCAGGTGGATGCAGTCCAGTGTTTTCTGCCCTCCAGTGCTGTGCAGACCCAGGACCACCTCCTGGCTGGCAAAGGTACAGAAACAGCTGCCAGCAGAGAAAGCACAAGGAAATACCCTAACTAGAGAGAGACTGTCTAAAGGCATGCAGAAGGAATTTGCATTACCAGCAGAAGGAGAAAAATCTCATGTGAACACTTTGGGTTTCTAGTTTTCTAAAAGGATCTAGATGAAAGGTTGTGCAGTGCATTTTTAGGGCCTCCAGGCAATTACTTAGATATCAGAGTAAAGCTTATAATTGGGGTATGGGGAGGATGAAAGGACAGAGTTAGGAACAAATTCAATTTATAATATTAAATGATTGCATAATAATCCTTTTGCATTAAATTAAACAAAAATAAGTGTACTCAAGCTATGCATTATCTGTATATCTATGCTTTTAACTGTAATGTATTTTTTCCATTGCCATGTATTTACAAGTTCTCTTGCTAAGGATGAGTTTTGAATAGCTAATTGTGTTTATAAAGTTTTCTGTAAGAAGATGCAAATTTGTCATCTGATGCTTGCAACTTGCCAGAAGGTGCCTTTCCCTTTAGGGAATATTTTACTTTGATTCCTAATCATGTCAAGACCATTGCAAACAGCTAAGCACAAGGTGTCCTTGGAAAATGAGGCTTTTTAATAACCATTTTCTCCACAAAGCTAGGCAATGTGAACAGATTATTTTTTTAAATGGCAGTGGTTTTCAGCACTACAGCTGGATCTTGGTAAGTCCCTTAGCAAAATTTGTGTTGGTATTTCAGAGAACGTTTTTGGACTCTTCTCTTAAGCTCTTTTTCTGTTTGGGAAGTGATGATCTCGGTAACCCTTTGTGTGATGGCTGGCTGGATACAGAGAATGAGAACCATCTCATGCATGAAGTTGGTTGTGTCAAAACATACACATACTCACGGAGAAAAATGACCTTAAGTTCAAGTTATTGTTGACTCTCCTGTAAAACTGGGCAAGCCAGGTGTCTGCTTTGTTACCTTGGTTTCTCTGTGAACATTCAGAAATATTTGTGATAAAAAAATCATTGTTGATAGTGGGCTGAACAGTAAGGTGAGATCTGGACAATTTTTTGTCAAAACTAAGGTGCACTAAAAGCACAACAGTCTTTTTTGTGGAAGTGAAATTTAACTTGTCGGGGTAATCAGGCAATCACTTCCCTGCCCTGATGCTCAAGCACAGGGGCTGCACCCTCTACACTCCTGTGTGGACATCACTGAATCTTTGCCAAGTATAAAGTACTTTGTAGAAAAATCTTCTGAAGAAGAAAGAAAATTGCTTGATTTACTTAAATATTTTCATCTTGATTTCTAAACGCTCAAGTGTGTCAGCACTAAAGGTTTTGCAAATGACAGTAGCATGATGCTGTAGGAGGAAGCTCCCTGCATACAAGAAATGCTGTCTCTGTTAGCCATCCTCAGGATGCTGGTTAGAAATTTTTCCATATCTTTGTTCTAGATTAGTTATGCACACACACCCCTACTGTCTGTAAGTTCAGAGAGCTCTCAAAGTTGAACTTAGGAACCTGGCTGAGAGAGAACTAAAGCTGTTAGCCCAGCCTTGAAAGCTATGGGTGGACTATGCTAAAACCTGCTTATTTAAATGCTTTTCTCAAGCAATGAAAATTGGTAAGGATGTTGCAGAAGGGTGGGACCTGACTAGTGTGTTTTAACAAGCTGGAGCCTTGCACTTTTTTTTTTTTTTTTTTAAATCGTGGTTGGATATAATCTTAAATAATTGCATTGGATTTGCTTGGCATTTGGGTACAAGGGCCAGAAGAAAGATGATCCTGGCTTGTTTGAATTCAGGGGACTGTGGGGATTGAGGAAGCTTATTAAGAGATTTTCATTTTCACTGTTGTCTTTTCATTGTATGGACAGTCCTGCTGTGTATGGGGACTCCAAGAACATCCATTTCACTTTGCATTAGTCGACGTGATTCCTCAGATGCTCATGGCAGCACATTGTGGATCAGACTGAGTGGGAAAGAGCCACTTGAGCATGCCACTGCTCAATGTACATTAGATAAGTAGGTCTTGGGTGCATAGTGTGAGGCTGAATTACAGCAGGAACTTATTCAGCACTGTTGCTTTCTGCTAATGACATTAAATACCATTTGGTCTTAGCTGGGTGCATCTGGATTAACGTCAATGCATTCTCTCATTGTAGGAGCAGCTTACTGCCAGTTCATGGACATGTTGTTCCCAGGGTGCATTAGCTTGAAGAAAGTAAAGTTTCAAGCAAAGCTGGAGCATGAGTACATTCACAACTTCAAACTTCTGCAGGCATCATTTAAAAGAATGAATGTGGATAAGGTAGGAATTCTCTATTTATATTTTGAACGCTACATGTTTCAAAAGTTACATGAATTGTGTAAATTGATAAATAGGGGAAACAAACTTCAAAATACTTGAAAATGCACTTTTTCAACTTTTGGATGAAGAACTAGAATTGCAATAAATGTTCTTGACCTTTCATCATCTGAAAAGGGTATTTGGGTGTGAAGGGAGAAGTTTAGCGTTTGGCTTCATTTAGGTACGAATTGAAAATTGAGTCCACATGTCTGCTGAGGAGTTGTGCCATCTAACTCATTGTATCTTAATACCAGAGACCCTTTGATAAAATTCCATGTGTTGGAAATTCCTTGTCATCAGTGAATCTTCATTTTTTGATAAATACAATTATTGGTGACCTAAATTTCCAACAAAACATATTTGAAAATATGCTGTTCTTACAAGTATTCCATTTCTTTTGTCCAAAGCAGGGTTTGAGGAATTTAAATTATTCAAAAGCTGGAATAATTTACCCGGTGATCGAAGAGATGGGTAGCACATGTGATCTTGTAAAGTTAAGAATGGAAACCTCTGAGAAAATGCTTGTTCAGGCTTAAGGGATTTGGTTTATGCTTGAATGTGAGAGTTTGACAGACTCACCAATATAAATTACTGTGTTGATAAAAATGAATAATGGAAGTTATGTTATCATGCTTATAATTTTACACTGATGCACTACCTGTTTACCCTTTTAAGGTTCTGCTCTGGCTTTTAGTGTTGCCTTATTCTGCAATTTAAACAGTCATAACAGAAAGTGCCTTAAGACTTCTACAAAGAACTGGAAAACACTCATTGTTTCATGAAATGTTATGGATACTTTACTATTTACAGTGTGATTTGCTAGTGAAACACTGGGAAGACTAATGTAGTCAATTTTCCTGTAGAGAGCAAATTTGTCATGCCTTTTTAATGCAGAGTTGAGATACAAATGGAACAACCTGAAAAGACATGCAAAATGCAATGTCAATTCTTGCAGAAGCGTCATAGATTTATAAAATGCTGTACAGTTGGCTTAATCCTGAAGAAGAAAATGAAAACCCTTTTCCAGCTGAAGATTCCTAACATTCAACAGGCATTGAGGTCCGCCTAACTTGGCTGTTTAATCAGCTGCTTGAATTAAGCAAAGCAGGGCAGCTTTTCTGCAGTTGTAGACCCTGTCTGCCCACAGTGTCTAGAAGCCTTGAGCACTCTGATATTGGCTGAAGACACCTTTTGGAGGATTCATGTCTATGAAAAATTTCTAAGATACTGATATTGAGACATCCTCATAGCCTTGCCTTTCTTTTAGTAGAACTTTATAAGGCATTTAAGTCAACTTCTGCATGTCCACAAACTGTTCTATGTATAGCTATATGTGGAACAGAAAGAAATTACAAGGTTAAAACCTCAGGCTTGGTTCATATGACGACCATGTGCTACCAAAATGTAGGTTGGTTTGAACTTTAACATGTCTTGGAAAAGCTGCTGGGCTTTGTAGTTCAAACAGTAGGACAGAGAGAAAGAAACATCTGTCTGGAGTTTTTGAAGAATTGTTTGTAGTATGTCAAACTGTACCATGTCCATTAAAACCAGAAATCCCTAGTTGGCTGAATACAGTGTTAGTCCCAGGACAGTGTCATTCATCATGGGATGTACCCATGGGATGGAAGGAGGTACTTCTGTGGAACCATAGCTATAAAAGCTTACATACACCCTATGTATTGCTACTTCAAAGGCTGGGTCTCATTGGGTTTTGTTTTCATTTTTTAAGAGCACTTGCAAATTGCCCCTTTCTTTTAGGAGCAAAACAATGGCAGAGGTTTCTTTGTTGGTGCAGTTAGTAGATTTTTATCAAATAAGTGTGTATGTGTAATTTTTATATTTAAAACCAGCAGTGATGTAATATTGGATGTTAATATCTACCTTTTAGGTAATTCCTGTGGAAAAACTGGTCAAAGGGCGCTTCCAAGACAACTTAGATTTCATTCAATGGTTTAAGAAGTTCTTTGATGCTAACTATGATGGGAAGGAGTATGATCCTGTGGAAGCTCGACAAGGCCAAGATGCTCTTCCTCCACCAGATCCTGGTGAACAGATCTTTAACCTGCCCAAAAAGTCTCACCATGCAAACTCTCCAACTGCAGGTATTTTACCTCTTAAGGAATTCCATTTCTCTATCTGAAGACAATTATAAACTGTGATCCACTCTACTTAAATACTAGTTTAAAATTATTTCCTTGGGTGGTTGTGCCATTCTTTCTGCCTTATCATGGGCTTAGCATCTTGAGACAGCAGAAGGTTAACATCTTGTGTGCTCTAGTCTGGCCCAGGCCCAGCCCTACTGAGCATAGGGTGTCCTCCACTGCACTCCCTCCATGTAAATGACATGGACTCTGGTAGTATCTGGTGGTGGAGACAAAGGCTCTTAACAATCCTGTTGCTGAATGTGGTATGTGCAAGTGTATTCAAGAACATTAAATGGAGTGTGTTCCTCTTTCACACCTCCACCTTTATAGGAAAATGCTTGTACAGGCTGATTTATTTTTTTTATTTTTATGGTGACTAAAATGTTTACAAATCTTAAGGGCTGGCCAGAAGAACAAAAATTAAGTTTTTTTGGGTTTATGTGTGCTTATTGTTTGGGTATGCTAGTCCTCCTAACTGAAAAACATATAGCTTTTGCTCTTTCACAAAGATACCTCAGTCTTCTAATTTTTTATTTTGTGCTTGTGTTGGGTTTTGCTAGGATAGAGATGACTCTTCAGAGGAGGTTGGTGCTAAATTTTGAATTTAAAACCAAAACAGTGTTGATAAGTCATGGATGTTTTAATTATTGCTAATCAGTACTTACACAGAGTCCAGGCTTTCTCACATTGCCTTGCCAACAAACAGGCTGGGGGTGCCCCAGAAATTTGGAGGGGACACAGCCAGGACAGCTGACCCCAATAGACTGCACAGATAATCCATACCACATGGCATTGTGCTTAGCCAGAAAAGCTTGGGGAATAAGGAGAAGGGTGGGGAGGGATGTTGAGAGTTACAGCATTTGTCTTGCCAAATCACCATTATGGGTGATGGTCTGGCTTTCCTGGAGGTAGGTTAATTCCTGCCTGCCCATGGGAAGTGGTGAATGAATTGTTGGCATGGATTTTGTTTTACCTAATAAACTGTCTTTATCTCAACCCATGAATTTTCTCACATTTCCCCTCCTGAGTTTCTCCCCCATCTCACTGCAGGGGACAGTGAGCCATCAGCTATGGGGGCTCAGCTGTCTGCTGGGGTTAAACCACAGCAGTGTTTCTGGAACAGGCCAAAGGAGTAAACCTGATCTTTGGTGTTTATGTAATGTGGCTATGACTAGTCACTAAGCAGATGCTGGTTTTGTTAACTGAGAATTAAGTGGAGACGAGCTAATATTTAAGAAAAAGAAATAGTCACTAAAAAAGTATTACTGGACATAGGTTTGTGCATATGGAAATACACATGCACACACACCTAATTCCTTCATTGGTTTGTCCTGGGTTTATGCTAACCCATTCCTCAAATAAGGATTAATATTTAGTTGATTTTAAACCTGTGACCTGTCCTCATATGGGCTTGGATATGCAGCAGTACTCACAAAAGCAGGGGCAGGTGTGAAGCATGAATCACCCTCACTTTTAGGCTGCCTTGTGCTCTGGAATCCTACCCAGATTTCAGTGTTCTGCTCTGATCACTTCTGACGTCAGAGTGGGGCATACTTGGCCAGCTGCCTTCAGCTCATTAGTGCTTCCAGGAAATAGGGCACCTAATAACAGGCAGTGCTACTCTGAGCTTCTAAAGCTTCTTTACATCTTTATTTTGCACCCTCTTATGCCTAAACTTCTGAATTTCAGGGTCTGGCACGTTCCAATTTCCCATGTCATGTCTTGCACTCCCTTTGGAAACAGAAAACTCAAGTGCTAATGTCAAGATGTTGTCCAATTCAGAAATTGGAAAAGACATTTTTATTAAACACAGACTTTACTGTGCTTGTTAATTCTTCCTACAGATGGTCTGTTCTTCTCAAAGTCACAAATATGTCATCCAAACTAAAGCTGTGCAGGTGACAATCCTACAGAAATTGAATAGCTACTGGAGTGGAACCAGCCAGCTGATGTGGAGGATAATGCAGTAATGTCACGTTGTGTTGTTGGTTGTATGAAGAGCATGTCCTGTGCCTTCCCAGCCTTTGTATGGAATTGTACAACTGAGATAGTGTGATGAGTCTTGATAAGATCCTGTGGCTGTGAGAGTTAGCTTTTTCATGGAAAACATCCTTCATTATTAACCTAAATATTGTCCAGAATTATGACATGCTGGACACTAGTTTAATTTCTGAGCTGAGGATGGTGGGGTATGGATATTACATGATGCTTGGTGAAATGAGAGTTCCAGCTTTCCTTGCTGCTTGCATTTCAGAACAGAGCTAATTCAGTTAGGTGCCAGTCATTCCATGGACTTACTGAATTCTGGGTGAGCACGTTTTTGTGGCACTGATGTACAGTGCCTTTGTGCCTTGCCTCACCCCATCACAGAACCTGCACATTGGAAGGAATGGGAGCCTTTACTGATGCTCTGGGAGGAGTTCTGTATGCATCTGCAAACTTGAGTGTGCCTCATCTCCTGCTGTTTGGGAGTAAATTGGGATGATGCAGGAGCAAGTTCTGGGCAGCTGGGAAGTTACCATGAAAGATGTGCTTCTGTACCTCTGTCTTCCACACTTAGCTGGAAGGGAAGGAGTATTCATTACAGCTGCTACAGGAACCATAATATAAACCCCAGGATATTGTTGGCCTTCTGGGCTGCAAGTGCACATTGCTGGCTAAGCTTCTCATCAACCAACACCCCCAAGTTCTTCTCAGGGCTGCTCTCAATCCATTCTCTACCCAGCCTGTATTTGTGCCTGGGATTGCCCCAACCCAGGTGCAGGAGCTTGCACTTGGCCATGCTGAACTTGATGAGGTTTGCACAGACCCACCTCTCAGGCCTGTCAATGTCCCTCTGGATGGCATCCCTTCCCTCCAGCACGTGACCACACCACACAGCTTGGTGCCATTATTAATTTGTATGGTTTGCTCTACCTTATCAATGAAGCTTTGAAGTTTTAGTAGTACTGCCTGGTCAGTTCATTAACAAAACAAAAGGTAGCATGCATGAGAAAAAATAAGGAACCCAGAAGATCTTTCAGCATAATCCAAAAGTTTTTAAACAGAGTGCAGTGGACATACCTGAATGTACACATCTATTGTTTGGTGTCAGGAGCAAGCAGATATATGGGTACTCATTCATATTTGGAGGTTTGGCAGGCTTTAAAATATGCCTATTCTAAATTGATTAGATATATGTATTTCTAAAGGAATCCTTTACTTTAGTTACTGGCAGTTTCATATGCATTTCAGGTGATTGCTTTTGCTCCGTAGAGTAACTCTTCCAGTGCCCTTTGACAGAGTTTTGGGCTTGAGTGATTTAGGAGATTATTGTTCACTATTCATAACTGCCTTATAACACTGTTCTGACAATGTATTTTCAGAGGTAGACTAAGAAACATATCCTTGAGTTAACAAGTGGTCAGATCCTTAAAGGCTGCTCTGAAAACTTATCCAGAAAGGTACTGGCATGAATTGAAATTATTTTTGATATTTTAATCAGATTCTAAAGCTTGAAGGGATGCCTGGTATCAGGTAGCTGCTTCCTGTACCTGTAAATGGATATTAACCTGTATCTCTATAAATGCAGAGTGTAGTCTTTATTTAATTTGAAAAATGAACACTTTTAGAAGAACCCAAAATTGAGAAGTGTAAAAATGCACTGCTTTTTGTGTTAATTGGTGGGCAGACCAGCAGCCATAGCCCTTCCCATTCCAAAGATGATCCTGCTGGGGAGTCAGTGCAGGTCAAGGATTATGCAGCTTGGAAATGGAAGCATAAATAGGTCCCCACAACTAATCTGCTGTGCCACCCTCACAGTGCCTTGTCCCCTCCTTCAGGGACAGAGCCGATTTGTGGCCGAGCTGGCGGTGGTGCCGTGGGTGGATGGCTTTGGTAACGTGCCACAGGGTGCTTCTAGAAACAGCAGGAGCAGCAAGGTTTCACCAGGTGACTGCAGCTCCCAGGTGGGGAAATGAGGGTCTTTTCCTCCTTCAAGGAGCAGCACAGGGCACTGCTGGAGGTTCTTGGCAGCAGCACCACAGCTGCTTTTAGATGCCATCTGCCAGCCCTGAGCCAGCTTTCGATCTCCTACAGCCTCCACTCTGCTCTAATGCAGTGGTAAACAGCCTACAGATGTAGAGTCAAAATTGTGGTGCAGGATTAAAATATTAGGGCACTGTTGTTTGTGCCAGTTCTAATGCTCCCTGCGGGAAATAGCGGAAAAGGCTTCATCTGATCAAAATTGAAAATAGTGATCAGGTTGTCAGGATTTTAGCTTAGTGTCTTATGTAAGTATTCCTGTATGTCAGAGCAAATCTCCATGGAGCACTCTCTAGTGTATGGGTGGGGGGTGTCAAAAATGCACGGGTATAAGACAGCTTAATAAAATTAATTATTTATATGCAAGCTAAAATTGTGAGAGGTTCTTAGATCTGAAGGCTGTTAGATTTTTTTTTAGTTTGAAATATTCAGTGAGGGCAGGATGACTAAAGCAGAGCTGGAAAATACTGGAGGATCACATGAGGGCTAAAAATACTCACGCTATGACAGGGAAAATAACCAGGGCAGAATGAACTGTTTGTGCATGAATGCATTATATATAATGTGCCATCAAAAAGCCAATTGCACAAGAGGAATACTGATTTTCTGTAGGGAAACAGTATATCCTGCTGTGACAGATGTGCTGTAAATTAATTTTGAGGGATAAAAATACTCAGCAAGTCCGGTCTTTATTTTAGCAGCTAGTGATACAATTAGAACTCCTGGGAGAGTAGAGAACTCCTAATGCTTTTTTTTTTTTGCTTTCCACCAAGACTTGCTACCTTTTTCCCCAGTGGCAGGCAGTAGGTGTTGGCAATGGCAATCTCTGCTCACTGTGGTTCAGTGCTGCAGGACAACGTGGCAGAGCTAGATGGAAAGAGCTGCAGGGTGACAAACGGAGAGTGTTTTCATCGCTAGTTCATACAAGGCCAAGG